TCTTGCTCCTAGTAGCGATGCCAGGAACCTCTAGTAGCTTCTTGCTCATTTTCACATGGACCTCATGCTCTGTAGCCGCAGGCCTTGAGCTCGGCTCGAGAGAAAAGACGCGGCTACCACACCGCGAGTAGTGACCACTGAAACAGTGGTAGCGGAGCCCTGTCCCGCCAGGGCATAGCACCCGACAATGTCGGGAGGACATGGCCATGGACCTCGTCCCTACCGACCTCGCGCCGCAAATTCCCATGCCGCTGCTGTGGAAGGTGCCGTACCAGGCGGCAGCGATCCCGGACTCCTTGGAGAAGTGGCGGATGCGCCGACGCCAAGCGTCTACTGCGCTACGAGCGCGGCGGCGGATGCCAACTCTGGCTCGAACCAGCCAGTGAGCACCGATGTGGGCGCTGGCGCAACCTCTCCAGCAGGCCATGTGGCCCAGCCGGCGGTCTCGCCGCCACCTCCTTCAATGATGAGTGGTCAACGCATGACTCCTGACCCTTGGATGCAACCAGGACACCAACAATCCGGCTCTCCTGTTAGCTTTGGTGGGCGACCTTTTTCAGGCAATACTACCTCACTCCGGATATGCGCCTAGCTTTCCTGGACCTTCTCAACAAGCTTATGCCATGTTTCCTGGACTACCTCATTGGACTCAGCCTTCGCGGCTCTTGGAAGATCTATGCCAGCCACCTGCTCCCAACCTATGGACATGGAGAACCTCCCGAAGCAGTTGGTTTCTTCGCTTGGCGGAGAACGCAAAAGCCAGATCCCAACATGGAGTGGTGCTCCCAACACTCTGTGCGCTTGGCTGAAAAGCCTTGGCTTTTGGGAGCAAGAGACCACGCTGACGCTCCAAATGGGGACTCAGGCTGTTTGCAGCACTGACAGATGATGCAAAGAAGATCGCTGACACAGTGCCAGTTCAGTGCTCATCTCCGAGCAGTGTTACTCAAGCATCTTGACCGCCCTGATGGAAAAGTACAAGCCCTACATCAAAGCTGCCGGGCCAGCTTCAGTGGATGCCTTCCCCTAACGCTCACCCAAAGAAAGCAAGAGAGGAGCGAGCCTCCAGCCACTGGTGGCTGGACGTGTGCTACTTCGCCCGGCTTGCCTCACCGAGCACCAACAGCAGCTGCTCGCTTTGAAGATGAGCACCTTGGCTTCCTGTGACGATGTGATCCAGAGTCTGCGACCGCTGGATCGCCTGGACAGCCTTGCAAAGGCTGGTGGTCTTCCTGGCGCTGTGAGCTCCAACTAGGTCTACATGACTGCCGAGGACTACGAGGAGGACTACATGGAGGAATGGGGTGAAGAAGAAGAGGGGGAAGACTATGCCTCCGAGGATGGAGACCTGGACTTCCTCGACTTCGAAGATCGTGAGCGCGATGAGATGGAAGCGGTGCACGTCCAAGCCAAGAGCACTACTTCGACTACACCGTCTACGGTGACCAATGTCTACATGTTCACTCGGAGGCGCGCCATGGACACCTTCACGCAGCTGCCCAACACCAGGTGTTCGACGCCGGGGTGTGGTGGACACCGCCGCCGAGGACGCTGTGGTGGGCTCTCAGGCCTTTGCAGCCATGGTGGAATCGGTGGAAGAGCTCACTTCCCTTGACCTTCGAGCGGTCCCAGTCAAACGCCAGGCCACACCTTGCGCTGGCATCGGAGGACGAGCACAGCCGCTGACTGGCCCGTGGCGTCCTACCTCGAGATTGTTGGCTGTACGCTAGACTTCAAAAACAATGTGTACACCACCCACGCCGGTCACACTACCAAGATGATCAGGTTGCCTTCCGGCCACCGCACTGTTCACATGTTCGACTTTGACATCACACCCTGGCGCCTTCCTGTTGCACACCAAGTTCGTGGTTTGGGCCCCTTTCAGTTACGACAACGCCGTTCTTCGCACTCCTTTTTTGGCGGGGTGGACCTTTCCGGTCCTTCGCCGTCGTCGTCTGACCTGCTTTCGGTGCCATCGCGCGCAAGGTCAAGGAGCCCGATGGTCTACACGGACTTCATCATCCACTTCAACGACGGTAACGAGCACGTGATCGAGTCACAGCCTGGATGGCGGGCTGGCCCACTTCCTGGACCAGGTTCAGATCAATGTGACCTTCGGCCGCCTTTCCTTTGGTCGAACGGTGAAGGCTCAGCACAGGGATGGGTCACACAGCACAGTGATCTCCCGGCCGACCACACTTGGTCTCTCCCATCTTGTGTGGCGGAACCACCACTGCTTCGTCGTCCTTCTTCAGCATGCGACGCAGCTGCGACTGAAGGGAGCTCGATGGGATCACGTTCTTGGGCGCCATGGCTGCGAGTGAGGTGCAGGACGACGTTCCGGGCAGCTTCAAGGACAGTCGTTCTCATCGTTGCTCGAACGTCGGGTGTGATCACGGTGGCGTTTGGCGCAAACATGTACTGCATCTCGAAGTGATGAAAGACTGAGCATTCTTGACTCTTGGGTTGAGGTGCTACAGTGCCAATTCTCATCGTGGTCGCTGATGGTCATGTCAAACACTTGCAAATCTTCTGACTGAATGAGAGGGGCCTCACTGGAACCTTGAAGGGTCTCGGAAGAGTCCTTGGCGACGCTCTCTTGGTACTCGTAGTCCTCGTGCTCGGCCTGGTTGGTGGCTTTGGATCTCCACGCTTGTCCGCCCCAGGCGGATGGTCCGAGCGTGGAGGGTTCAGGTGGGCACGCTTGGTCAAGGGCCTGCTCTACATGCTGGTGACCGTGCAGAACCAGATGGCGCTGGACTACTTGCAGGAGAAGGGCATCATGGACGACTACGTCCAGAAAGAGGAGTTCTACCCGAATGAGGAGAAGAAGAATGCGAAGAAGACTCCAAGCAAGACCAAGGGAGCACCGATCCCTCGGGGCATTGGGAATCCACTGCCACGCTCTCAGATTCACCAACACTGGGACAAGGACCCTTGGTCGCGCCCTCATGTACCAGAACACGTACGGCGCAGAGCGAACCGCTACTGCCAGTGGTGGGTTTGCTTGAGACGCGGATCCTGGTGGGAGAGGACCACCACTGACCCATGGATCCGCTGGCGCCAAAGGCCAGGAGCATCTCGCAAGTTCCTTCGAGACAGCCCCAATCACGCGCCGACCTCCAGGTATTCGTGGACCGCTGGAAACCCACTGAACGGGTCGGTGTGATGGCTGAAGAATACGGCTCCGATGGATTTGAGCCAGAGAACCATGGCGGACTAGCCGCGAAGAGCCGTTGGTGCGTTGTTGGGATGGAAGGGCCCTCACATCCTCAGGTTGAACGAGCTGTACCAACACCACTGACATCGAGCGTGTACCTGACGCTGCAGCTTGCCGCTTCACGGAAGTGGAAGGCCTACTCCAAGGATGCCAAGACCGCCTTCCTTCAGTCGAGACCGACCACTCGGCGCAGGATGCCACCAGATGAAGCCTTTCAAGGCTACCACCTTGAGCAGCTCATCTTGCTCCTCACTGAGGTCTATGGCCCGGTAAGTGGACCTGCCTGATGGAGACGCTCACTTTTGGAAGTTTTGGTCAAGGACCTTGGCTACCGGGTGACTGAACGTCTACGACCGCTGCGCGCTCACCCTCGACGGACCAGCCAACAAGTAAAGCCTGATGAGCAAGTGCCTACACAACGCATACTGGTTCTAGAGGTGGAAGACGTGTTGGAAGCCGGCAACGATGTCCACAGAGCAAAAATGAAACATGAACGACTACGCGCAGAACAGGCTGCAACTTTTGCCGATCCACAGGAAAGCCCTAAAAAAGGATGCCGCTTCAACAATCCTCAACCAAGACGAGGAAACCAAACTTCGCGGCACCATCGCGAGGGCCGTCCTGATGGATCAGCCCCAGCGTGGACCTGCTGACAGCGGAAAGTGGTCATCAAGATGCACGCCATCAAGGAGAAAGACCTGAGGCATTTTTGATTGCCGATTCCAGCTTCGACTTTTGAGGGCGGACCAAACCTCAACACGCCTGGATCCAAGCCATGACCACCCCTGAACTCAATTTGGGACGCCCTGTACCTGTGTCCCTGATTGCTTGGAGAACTCTGTCATCCTCACCACCAATGTTCCCATTCTACCCAAAGCACGTCCGGGGCACCCACCTATCAATACCACCTGGGTGGGCCCCCCACAATTGCACCATGCTCCACATTCAGCAACACCTACACGCATCCCCTTACAGGTCACCATTCCACGTCCCCACCGGAATGGCCAACTTCTGCCCTTCAACTTTTCCAATGACATCAAACACTACCTCAATCCCACAATATTCTCGGTCGCAATGACCGTTGGAGGTCCTCGAAGTCCCATCTGCACCTCTTCGTCCTCAGCCAAGCAGCGTGGGTCAAACCTTGAAACCTTGAAGCTCAGCAAGGTGGCGTACTGCTTCAGCAAGGGCGGTGCTGAGGGACTGAGACTGCGGCGATCATCGACGCCAAGAGTGTCTTCGATAGCACCTCAAGCACGGAGCAGCAGTTCCAAGGAGAAGACGACCGGGCAGCCCTGGAATCAGCAATAATCCAAAAATCTCTGGCCACAAGGCTGAGATGGCTTCCGTGCAACTACAACCCCGCGGACGGCCTCACCAAGTTGCCGAACGCCGCCCCTCTTCGACCTTCTCTCGAACCACCAGACGACGATCCAGAAAGAAGAGGATGAGCTTGCTGCGGGAAGACAAGGCGAGCTGCGGCTGAAGCAGCATTGACCCTCAATTCTTGTTTGCCTCACAGAAGTTTGGGAGGCTGAGAGTTTCACATGGACCCCACGGTCTGTAATCGGAGGCCTTGAGCTCGGCTCGAGAAAAAAGACGCGGCTACCACACCGCGAGTAGTCACCACTGAAACACTAGTATCCCAGAGCTAGTAGCTTCTTGCTTCTAGTAGCGATGCCAGCTTCTAGCTTGGTCGTAGTAGCGATGCCAGGATCCCTAGTAGCGATGCCAGGCGCCCTAGTAGCTTCCTATGCCAGGAGCCCCTAGTAGCTTCTTGGTTGTATTGGTAATGGGAGGAGCTCCTAGTAGCTGCTTCTTGCCATTAGTAGCGATGCCAGGAGCCACTAGTAGCTTCTTGCTTCCACTCTACTCCACGCCCTCACCTTCCAGGCGAGCTTCGAGGACCTGGCGTGGACCTACGCGTGTTCCATGCGTCGCGGCGAGAAAACGGGCCACGTTTTGCGCCGCTCCCGGGCCATGCTGCGCTCCAACGAGACGCTGCGCTCCCAACTGCAGGAGATGGTGAGTGAGCAACAGCTTCAGCTACACACCGACTTTGAGACGTTTGGAGTATGCAAATAAAGAGTTGTCAAGCATCTTTGGTCGATGACGGTATCAACATGTATTCACGTAATGACAAAATATTACACGTTAATACATATTGATGTTAATAAATTTGCCCAGCTGGAGACCTCAATAGCGCGATACAAACCGGGACAAAAACCAAAATCTGGAAACAGCTGCTGTTTTCAACACATCGACCATCTCTTCCTTAGACACGATCATCATCACACAACCGGGACACCATCACAACACGACCGGGACACAATCAAAACATAACCGGGACATGACCGGGACACCATCCGCCCACCAGCTCTGACGGTGACCCGACGGTGCCCGTCCGCCTATTAGTTTTGCAAAGCCCCATAGCATGGTTATTTTATCTATCTATCTATATTTATTTATCTATCTATGTATACTGAATTAGATATTAAGATATTTTGTGATGCCAATATTGTGTGATCCGTTTCATATTCTGTGTTTCATCTGTTTCACTGCGTGGCCCGCCGATGTGAACGTCGGAACGAGGTAGTGTTTTGTTTAAAGCAAAAGGAACCTTGAAAATCATACTGTTCATATTTTTTCATATTATATATATATATATGGTTTTTGATCTTATGTTTTTGGAAGATAGGTAGGAAGTGGCTAGGTAGCTAGTAGCGTTAGCTACTACTAATATGGACGTGGGATAGTTCAGGTTTGCACTATTCATTTGGTTCTTAGATGTTTAGGGAAACTTCAGTTGACGAAAGCTTGACTTGAGGATCAGCTTTGAAGATCAAGGCATCGGGTCACAACATTTGGTCTCATTGGCTCAGCAACTGGAGAAGTTCTTCCCCATGTTGGCAGCTTACGATTTCTACCGTTTCAACTCCTTGGAGAAACTCATCCAACATTGGGACACGGTTGACACCGATGGTCACATCGGAAGGTCTCACACAGCTACAGCGCTGGACATTTTGGGTTGTGGGCTGCGCTTGCCTGCAGGAGTGGCTTCTCCAGGTGTGGTAGTTGAGCCAGTCCTGAGCTGTAGCGTTTCATGTGTAAAAAGGGGGCTCCTAGTAGCGTCTTGCTCCTAGTAGTAAGGCCACGAGCCCCCAGTAGCGTCCTTGTTCCTAGTAGTAAGGCCCTTGTTACTAGTAGCTATTTGCTCCTAGGACTTCTTTGGAAGAAAAGCCAAGAGCTGTTTCTTGTGTGGCGTCCTGTTGGGAAACTCTTCAGTTGCGTCCTGTTCGAGGGTAAGACGGGGGGGGTACACACGCACACACCTTGGGGGGTTGATGTAGCACGATGCTTTGCAAAGTTGCACAAATGGCGGTTCCTCCGACAAATGGCACTCTCATCAGCCGCAGCTTAGCTACACATCCAGGGCTAACTTGTTCAACCGACCTCACATGCTTGTTCAGACAGAAGTGACTTTGGAGGTGGAACAAGAGTTTTATCCTAGTGAAGGACCAGAATCGCAGTGAACTCACAAGCATTTTCAGGATGTTCCTCAAGTGTTTGACAATGTGTCAGTAACTTTGGAGGTGGTTGACGAATCATTTGTTTCACTACGGGATTCACCCGACAAACTGTCAGGTGCCTTTTGGTCCTTGCTGGAAAAAGATGACCAGAGCAGTGCTTTCAGATCCAAGCTGCCAGGGATCACTGCTGCCTTTCTGCACTTCGATCAAGTGGCGGCTGCTGTGGATGGTGTAGAAGGTGCAGAGGCACCATTTCCGGACGACACACACCCAAAACGGTGCTTCTTTGATTCTTTCGTCTTCTAACGGTGCTTCTGCGATTCAAAGAACGGTTCTCAAACTGTGGTGTCGCTGTCGCCTTCCGTTCTTTGTGCCAATCATTGAACTTCTCCAACCTTAGATTCTTTAAGAAACAAGAAAACAAAACAAAGAAAACACAAAACATCTTCAATCTCCTAGCTGTCCAGTTCTTTATCCTAGCAATGCCCTCCTTTGAGGAAGAAAAACGAAGAAAGTCCAATTCCCTCCTAGGTCCACGATAGCAGTTCTCCTTTGTCTCAAGCCATGTGTGGCGACGGTGTTGCCAGGGACAAATGACACAATATTCTTCCCAACCATTTCTGTACATTTTACAGCCTCAACAGCCCTGTTCAATAACAGCGAGTCTCATCCCAGAACCTCACATCCCTTTAAGACGCAAAACCGGCCAAGCAACAAGCGGTGGGGTCGTCGCGCCGATGATGTAGACCTGCAAGATGCTTGAAATAACGATTTCTTTGCAAATGGTGCTGATATGTGATGTGAGCTGTGAGCGAGCTGGCCACACTTTCTCGATGGGAGTTCGATGTTTGCTTAAGGCCAGCCCCAATCGTAGCGTTGTTGCTCCGTTCCTAGCGATGCCCTTTGCTCCGTTCGTAGCGTCCGATCGCTCCTGCCAGAAACGGATTGTGCGTCAGAGCCGTTCCTGTCTTCCTTCGGCGCGTTTCACAGAGGTGACACCGAGAGAGTGAGAGAACACGGCTGTTGAATGGCTCTGCTCTTCTACTCGTTCTTGTGACCAATAGCGATATTCAATTACTGATCGTTCCTTTATGTTCAAGTGATGTTCATCGATATGTTCGATGAGGTCGCCTCAGTTGTTTGCACCTCGTTCCATCTCGATCCCAACCTGATAGCACTGGCCTCCAAGCTCGTAGCGTTGGCCTGGAGAGAAGCGTCTTCTACCCCCGCGTGCGCGCAGCGAAAGAGCTCCTAGTAGTTATAGTCATATTTGCTATGTTTTTGATGGCCAAGAGCCGTCCTCGTGTCCTTTGCTCCTGCCCCCAGGCAGCTGCCATGGATCCCCAGCACACCTTTGCCCTCCAATTGGCCGCTGAGATGTTCCGAGACGTCGAAATTGGCTCCCCGGAAGGGCCGGAGATTGTGAAGCGCTTAAAGGGTACACATCGGGAGCGGGTCGGCGTCTACATCGGTGCCTGGCAAGAAATCACACCGACCGCATCGACGGGGACCTCGGCCTACCAGACGATTGGTACTTCCTTGAGTGCTTTGGCCGCACGGGTGGCCAATGCTTATGACTTGCAGGGCCCAGCCATGACGATCAACACGGCATGTTCCTCTGCATTGGTCGCAGTGCACGAAGCATTGAAAGATGCCAAGATTGGACGGATTGACTTTGCGATTGTTGGTGGAGTCAACTTGTTCGGTGAAGATCTACAGCTTTTCCACCAGCTGCGCCGAGCGATGATGTTAAGTCCTTCCGGCAGATGCCACACCTTCTCGGCCGAGGCCGATGGCTATGTGCGTGGAGAAGGTGGAGTGCTCTTCCTTTTAGCTCGAGAGGACTTGCACCTTCCTTCTTGTGGACGCATTTTGGGCTCGGCAGTGACCCAGAACTCCAGGTGACACATTCCGGTGAGAAGATGTAAATGATGTATAGAAAGAAAGAATATCATTAGTAGCGATGCACTTGTTACTACTAGTAAGGCACTTGTTACTAGTAGCGATGCACTTGTTATATCATGGGTTTCTCACCTGTGAGGCGTCGGCCTTTGTCTTCAGTGGATCCTTTCGCCCAAGAGCATGCCATTCGCTTAGCCTGCGCCGACGCCCGGCTCAGTCCCTCGGAGCTCTCCGCCGTGGAGCTGCACGGCACCGGAACGCCCTTGGGCGACCCCGTCGAAGTCTCAGCCTTGGCCAGGACGGAAGGTCGGATAAGTAGGTAGTAGTAAGCAGGTAGTAGATGGTAGGTAGGAGCTAGTAGGTAGCTGAGTTGCCTGTTGGAGAGCTCACGCTTCTTCATTTGGTTCGATCGAAATTTCAGAGGTGTTCCAAGACGTAGCGTCTTGCTAGCGCCAGCGATGCACCCGATCCAGGACACTTGGAGACTCCACGTGTTGGATGACTGCAGCCAAGATGCACGTGGGACACTTGGAGTCTGCTGCCGGTGCTGTTGGCTTGCTGAAAGCAATGCTGATGTGCCAACATCGAAGGCAGGAAAAAACAGGGGGCCGTTGGGCGGCCGTTGGGCGGCCGTTGGGCTTTTAGGGCGGCACCAGGATGAGGCACATCTCGAGGCGTATGTGAATTCACACAAACTCGCCACTCGCATTCCGTCTTCAGTCGACGGACAGGTAACAGATTTCCAACGCTTTGAACATGTTTTTGGAAATTCGGATCTCGGCTTTAGAGCGGCCCGAATTGGCAGTAACAAGAAGCTAGTAGTAACAAGTGCATCGCTACTAGTAACAAGTGCCTTACTAGTGAAGCGCCACTTCGGTCCCACGAATTCGGTCTGTCTACGGCCGAAGCATCGTCCAAGTGGGACAGAAAGCGACCCATCCGCTAAGCGATCACAAAAACAACGGTCGCTTTTCTGCTACACGGACGTTCACAGCAAGCCCTTCCAGTTTGACATGTTCACCTGTGAAGCTGAGAACGCAAGTGATAAAGCAATTGCATGAACAAAGAATGCGAGCCATGACAGTCCCGGATAAAAGTACAAAACCAGCACCAGGATGTACCACCAACGTGACACCCGAAGGGAACATCGCGAAAATATATAACAGATTTATTTTCCTACTAGCTTCTCTCGCCTGTCGCAGGGTAAAACAGAATTGCTAATTGAATTGAATTTGCTTTAATTCTAATAGCTTCTTGTTACTACTAGTAAGGCCCTTGCTCCTAGTAGCGATGCACTTGTTCCTAATAGCTTATTGTTTCTATTTCGGAAAGGAAAGACATTTGCTCCTTCATTTCTTGCATCTCGCCTGTCGCAGGGTACCGGCCTTTAAGATCGGCAAGCTGAACCCGCAGGTGATGGCTGCCATGGAGGGCTCCTGTCTCAAGCTGGGAGAAGAAGGTTTGCACGAAAGACTGAAGACATATGTAATTTTTTGAATGTTTGTATGTTCTTAGCGTTGCAATTTATATCACTCATATCCAATCTGACAGGTGTTCTCATGGAGGATGCCAAGGTGGGTATTTCCAGTTTCGGCTTCGCTGGTAGCAATGCGCACGTGGTCATCACAGCTCCAGAAGGTGCGAACCGCCCACCGTACGAGGCCACAGAGGAGCGTCAGAGCGGTAGCGGCAGCGAAGCGGTACCGAAGCAGGATGTGCTTTCACAGGATTTCGCACCGAGATGCGACGTTTCAGCTGAAGATTTCACCAGATCTTCGGAAAGTACGAAGAACCAAGGCGACCACGATGAGCATGTGGAGGACAGGATGTTTGTCATTGTCAACGTTTCTGAAAAGACCACGAGACCAGAATGACCCAAATGTTTGGTTCATCATCTTCACGTAAGTTCACAATGGCAAGCATGTTCGGTTTTTGGACGGAGGATGTGGCGATGATAAACCGCTTGAGGTTCGTCAGCAGCGCTGTCCTGTCCATCGTGGGAGGCGATGGATCTGAAGTGGATGTAGATGCAGATTTACATGAGTTGGGCCTAGATTCCTTGGGTTTGGCTGAATTGCTTGGCTTGTTGGAGGACAGCGTTTTTGCAAAGTCACAAGAGTTTGTTGTTTGACCACGTGCGATGAACCATGTGAGACCTGCTCGTTCACAGGTCATCGCCATTGTCTTTAGTGTCCAACATCTAGGAAGCAAATCAGTGCGAGCGCTTCTAGCTTCCTTGAAGAAGCGCGAGCTATCCTGCGTCCAGTCGGTAGTAGCTTACTTGTAGGTACTAGCTACCTCTCTCTACTAGCTACTTCCTACCTCTACTAGCGGTCTACCCCCCTACCCCCTACCCCCTCCCTTTTGCACCAGGTGACCGCAGGTGACCCACTGACACTATCGGCACAGGACAAATTTGGTCCTGGCTGCATTGGAGTGGAGAAAATCATGGATCAACCGACATGTCGCGCCATCGCCAGCAAGTTGGACTCCGTTCAGCTTGAAACTGTCCATTTGCCTCACCTTCTGCCAGTGCCGCCTGTCGCTGTGCCACCTGTCGTACCTGTCAAGATACCTGTGGTACCTGTGGTGCCGAAGAAGACCATCGAGCAGCACGTGATGTCCGACGACGACGGTGACGACGGTCAGTGGATTCGGACGACCCATGTGGGCTCACTTCCTCGACCAGAAAAGTCTGGCAATCCGATTGATTTGGTGCCACGGATAGAAATCAAGTCTTTCTAAGGGGGAGTAGACCGCTAGTAGAGGTAGGACGTAGCGTAGAGAGAGGTAGCTAGTAGTTTGAGCAACTACTAGCGATGCTTTACTCAGGTCATTCTTCAACAAACAGAAATCGACCTGGACGTCATCAATGATGGCGAGTGGGGTCGGGAGAACTACATCTCTGACGTGATCAATCGTGTGTCAGGTCTGAATGGTGGTGACATGGGGCCAGCTTCAGCAGCCTCAGCAGCTTCAGCAGCTTGCTGCAACAAACATGCCATGCCACTTGCAGCTGATATGCTGGATGTGCCGCTGTACGCTCAACGCTTCTCAGGTGGTAATGGGTTGATCACCTTGAACCCCAAGCGAGAGGCTGTCAGTGGCTTGGCATGTGTGGCCCATCCCAAGTACATCGCTCCAGAAATCCCCAACTTGAAGGCCTTCGTGACTGCAGTGGCTGCAGCGGGCAAATCGGTCTTGGATTCATGGCACGTCTCCGACCTGCCTTTCTCTTTTTTTGCTGGACTCCAACAGAGCCAGTTTTGCCACACCATAGCAGTCACATGATATATGTATCTATATAAATATGTGTGTGTGTGTGTTTATCATCATATCATCCATATGTAGACTGATGTCTCAGGATTGCTTCTACTCAGTGCCCTCTCCCGGAACAATGGCACTCTTTTGCCGGGACCTGGTTTTCAACGATCACAAGGCGTATGTTATGGCACTGGCAGATGCCCTTGCTGAGGAGTACCAGCTCATTGCCCAGCATGGCATCCTGCTTCAGGTCATATCCGACAGATTTGACAATCAATCTATATTCCTAGTAGCTTTTTGTTACTAGTAGTAAGGATGCCCCTAGTAGTACGGCCAGGAGCCCTTAGTAGCGTCCTGGGTCCTTGTTCCTAGTAGCTTCTTGTTACTAGGAACCAAATGAATAGTGCGAGCGCTTCTTCAAGGAAGTTGTTGCGCAGCCCTTAGGGCCGGTAGGGGCTTCCTTGAAGAAGCGTGAGCTATCCTGTGTCCAGTTACTAGGAGCATGTTAAAACCCTAAGAGAGCTACTAACTAGCTTACACCTTTTTACTATCCGCGGCCAACACCCCCGAAACATATTGTACTTCAAGTGATCCCCACCCCGGGGGCGATTTGGAAGAAGGAGGGCAGGATTAACACAATGTTCTGACGCATGTTTTTGCATCAAGTTTGGTATCTGCTCTGACACATCATCTATCAGCTATCATAAAGGCGGACAAAGGTTCTGGACTGTGTTCTGACGTCCTTGTTGGCATTTGTTCTGACACTTTGCCTGCCACGAAGTCTGAAATGTGCCGTAACCTGTGGTCCAACTTCGGTCCTGATATGTGTTCTGACATGTGTTTTGCCATCAAAGAAAGAGTTGTTCTTCCACATGTATATCCTGACATACATTCTGGCACCCTATCCGGCATATATTCTGCGCATTCTGTCTGGCATATTTTCTGGCATCCTATTCGCACTCCATCTGGACGATACTTTTGGCATTCTGTCTAGAAAATATTCTTGGCATACGGAGGACACAGAGGAGGAGGTGGAGCTGGAGGATCGGAACAGCTCTGATATCAACTAACAACCCTACCTGGCTGGTGGTGAACAACATAAAATATCAAAAGATCCGCCCGCCAAAGGTGCTGAGACGTTAAACTGCAACAAGTGCGTGAGTCGTTTTTTGGCTTTAGCTGGGGGGGGCGCATTTTCCTTTGAGAACGAAAATGCATATTCTGCAGCATGAGGTGTGTCTGGGAGAGTAGTGAGTGGTGGGAGTGAAAGAAAACATATGGTTTTTCACATAACATCTATGCCTCATTGTCGTGTCATTCGCATTACCGCGTCCATGAAGGACAAAAAAACACTCCTCTCAACAGTCTATGTCTTAGTATATCTCTCATGGTTGCATCATATGCATCAGCTGATTGCAAGTGTGTGGTTTATTGTGCAAAATGCTTGCAAATTAGTACAACTTCGATCCCCTGTAAAAGAATATCCAACAGTGCTTGCAATGTATAGGTCCAAAGCTGGGGTAAACGGGTCCGTAAACGTCTCTATATACACATTACTCTCACTCTCTCGGCCTTTTCACCTCAGGTGGACTGTCCTGACCTGGCCATGGGTCGTCATACCAAGTGGTCTCAGTTGAGCCACGATGACTTCATGGACGTGGCCCGCTGTAACGTGGAGGCGAACGAAAAATAGACAAAATCAATAAAGTAAACAAAACAAAATCAAATAATCCGTATTGAATTTGTCCTGTTTTGGATGTGGAGGCCTTGAATCGAGCATTGAGAAATGTCCCAATACATCAAATCCGTGTGCACGTGTGCTGGGGCAACTATGCTGGACCACATCATCAGGAGCGGCTGAGGTTTGTGCATTGTTCCTTTCGGGGTGAAGAATCCGTTGAACACATTACATGTGTTTTTAAAGATGTAGGTGGAAGCTTAGTGGATCATTGATTCAAGCATGGAGCGGGTGTTCAAGCTTGGGTTGGGCAAATTTAAGAAACAACTTAATCCATTGTAGATTTGACGCGTCGGTTTTGTGAGGATATGCCTGCAGAGCACTTGTGGTCGTTGCTTGGAGAGGTGAAGGCCAAGTACTTGTTACTGGAGGGCGCAAATGGACGTCATCGAGCAGATGTGCAGTGTTTCGAGTCGGCGGTGAAAAAGGGCTACTTCAAGAGCCACCAGGTGACGTCGAAAAGGTGAAAAAGAAAAAGACGTTCCCAGCGGTACAGAGAACAAATCCGAACATTGATATTTTTTGGTCGACAAGAAGGCCAGTTTGAGCGCGAAAAATTGTATGATTCGATATATTTTGGGTAGAGTAGAAACATGGGATAACTATAACAGAGTATCAGAATATCGGTTTGATTTTACTGTTTTTACCGATAATGCTGAAAGAGCCGATGTTTACCATTTTTGCCGCACATATGTCTCAAGGGATCCCCGAACAGCGCTGAACCAGCTCTTGCCGTGTGAAACCCTAACATTACCTTTTCTTTATAAGGAGAATCGTCTAGATTTGTTTCGCTTCGCTTTGACACATACCAGATTGTCGGATTGTGCTTTGTACAATTGTGTCTCTTAATCCCTTGGCGTTCCATCATCTTAAAGGATTGTCAAACCCTGAACCATCAGATAATCCGAGTATCCATTGTATCCTTATGGACATGGTGGGACGGCCAGCTGACACACTTGTGACACACTTGGCATGTTTTATGCCTGGATATGATTGCGCTTTGCGTCCAGACTAGCTCCCAGAGCACATATCTAGCAATAAGGATTCTGAGTATAAAGGAAGCATCAAAGAATCAGAGAACCTTATGTGTAGCAAAGCAGTGTCACGAATAGCTTTGTGTGGAACTAGGAAGTAATAGGAGTAGGACACCAACCAAAAAGTCACTAGAACCCCAAACCAGAATGTGGGAAGCTATTGCTTATGCCCTACCATCTTTTGGAAACAACATGATCATCATGGAAGGGTGGACTGTCAAAAGACATGAAGAGACATCAAGATCACAGGATTGAGAACTGAAGTCGAAAAATTGAAGTCAATTAAAGACTTGGACTCAGTTCGACTGAGTTTGAGGTCATCGTTCCCGGGCTGATTGACACGACCACGGCACGGGTGGAAGACCCACGTCTCATCGCGGAGGATTTGCTGCGCTACATCCGTGCAGCCGGGCATCCGAAGCATGTGATGGCCTCCACCGACTGCGGCTTCGCATCCACGGCACGGTCCACGGCCATCACTGCGGACTTAGCTTCTCGAGAGCAACGAGAGACCAGATTTGGGGCCGGAAAAGACTCTAGTTGGAGGAACGGAAGCATGGACTACTAGCTTCTTGTTACTACTAGTAAGGCACTTGTTACTAGTAGC